CACTACTACTGTGGTGGTTGGATCACTACACTCTCAATACTGCTGTGGTGGTTGGATCACTACTACTGTGGTGGTTGGATCACTACACTCTCACTACTACTGTGGTGGTTGGATCACTACACTCTCACTACTACTGTGGTGGTTGGATCACTACTACTGTGGTGGTTGGATCACTACTACTGTGGTGGTTGGATCACTACTACTGTGGTGGTTGGATCACTACACTCTCACTACTACTGTGGTGGTTGGATCAATACACTCTCACTACTGCTGTGGTGGTTGGATCACTACTACTGTGGTGGTTGGATCACTACTACTGTGGTGGTTGGATCACTACTACTGTGGTGGTTGGATCTAATTCACTACTCTGGTGATCACTACTACTGTGGTGGTTGGATCACTACACTCTCACTACTGCTGTGGTGGTTGGATCACTACTACTGTGGTGGTTGGATCACTACACTCTCACTACTGCTATGGTGGTTGGATCATAACTACTACTGTGGTGGTTGGATCAATACTACGTTACTCACTACTACTGTGGTGGTTGGATCACTACACTGTGATCACTGCTGTGGTGGTTGGATCACTACTACTGTGGTGGTTGGATCACTACTACTGTGGTGGTTGGATCACTACTACTGTGGTGGTTGGATCACTACTACTGTGGTGGTTGGATCACTACTACTGTGGTGGTTGGATCAATACACTCTCACTACTACTGTGGTGGTTGGATCAATACACTCTCACTACTGCTGTGGTGGTTGGATCATTACACTCACTACTACTGTGGTGGTTGGATCACTACACTCTCACTACTGCTGTGGTGGTTGGATCACTACTACTGTGGTGGTTGGATCACTACTATCTGTGGTGGTTGGATCACTACTACTGTGGTGGTTGGATCACTACACTCACTACTGCTGTGGTGGTTGGATCACTACACTCACTACTGCTGTGGTGGTTGGATCAATACACTCTCACTACTGCTGTGGTGGTTGGATCACTACTACTGTGGTGGTTGGATCACTACTACTGTGGTGGTTGGATCACTACTACTGTGGTGGTTGGATCACTATACTCACTACTGCTGTGGTGGTTGGATCACTATTACTGCGATGGTTGGATCACTAACACTCTCACTACTGCTGTGGTGGTTGGATCACTACTACTGTGGTGGTTGGATCACTACACTCTCACTACTGCTGTGGTGGTTGGATCACTACTACTGTGGTGGTTGGATCACTACACTCTCACTACTGCTGTGGTGGTTGGATCACTATTACTGTGGTGGTTGGATCACTACACTCTCACTACTGCTGTGGTGGTTGGATCACTACTACTGTGGTGGTTGGATCACTACACTCTCACTACTGCTGTGGTGGTTGGATCACTATTACTGTGATGGTTGGATCACTACACTCTCACTACTGCTGTGGTGGTTGGATCACTATTACTGTGATGGTTGGATCACTACACTCTCACTACTGCTGTGGTGGTTGGATCACTATTACTGTGATGGTTGGATCACTACACTCTCACTACTGCTGTGGTGGTTGGATCACTATTACTGTGATGGTTGGATCACTACACTCACTACTACTGTGGTGGTTGGATCACCTGTCGCCTTCAATTGAAATCTCCACTACCATGTCTTGTCCTCTCAGAGCTTCAAACAGCTGCTAAACAACCAGGCTGTGGTGTGCCCGCTGGTCTATGTGTTGCTAATAGTAACAGCCTGACTGATCAGGCTGAGGGGGCAATGACCCCCGGAATAATCAACAGCTGATCCAAAATGGAGTTGGGGGTTCATAAATCTATTTATGTGATCATCGCTCCTGCTGCCCGACCTCACACCAGAACTAGGAAAGTGTAGAGAAACACACACACACACACATGTGGCGCTACCAACATAAACATGATCTCTTTTCAAAGCTTTAGCAGCTATGATCCTACGTAAGCTGTGTATCAAGCTGTCACATAACAGTGGTTCAGTATCACATAACAGAAGTACAGTAGCTGTACCAAATAAAAGGGTGCAATAGATGTACCACATAACAGTGGTACAGTAGCTGTACCACATAACAGTGGTACAGTAGGTGTACCACATAACAGTAGTACAGTAGCTGTACCACATAACAGTGGTACAGTAGGTGTACCACATAACAGTAGTACAGTAGCTGTACCACGTAACTGGTACAGTACTACGCATTACCAATACAAAAAATACATAAAGAATTCCTCCCCGGGACGTACTGACAAGAGTTTTTTGCTACGTTCATCAATAAATCTGTGAAACTGACTTTGTCTCTCTTTATGTGTGTTTGTTATTCTCTGTTCTTGTTGTCTAAAATTTAATTTAAACCTTTCAAGAGTTATTAGGCTCTTATCAAACTTCTCTTTCTTTCAAATTCTTCCTTTCCTCGTCGCCTCACTTCTCACATCTTCACCTCAGTGACGCAAGAGTTCTGAATATGAATCCAAACTGACTACTACTACCCATTCCCAGGAGGTGTGTGACTTCCATTAGTTTATCACTTACCCATGAATACAACAACAACAACAACAACAATAATAAAAATTGTCAAGTATTGTCATGTACAATAGGTGGTACTGGATCATGTCCTTGGCTAGCCTCTCCACAGGCAAGATCAACGACCTGCTGTGTGTGTGTGAGCTGAATAGAGATCATCTTTTGAACCACACTAACCTCCACGCTAATCCCTCTCATTACTCGGCTCACTTGGCCCCTCCCACGGCAGCTTCCCATCCACAAGAATGTCCCACGAGATCTAACACGCACGATAAGTTATCAACTTGTAATGCCTCGGGCATTGATGTTGGGATGCTATCTCGCCAACTTGACAAGTGCCTCAAGAACACAGGCTGGATTAAGTTTGTAGCAGGAAAGCAAATGACTGTCCACAACATGAAAAGGAGTTGGGCAAAAATTTTTGTAAATGGTTTGGGTTTGAAAAAGACTTGCCTAGTATGGGTCAGGAGGCAGCAGGCCTACTGGCCCATAACCAAAATTAGCTACTAAACCGCTATGATAAGATTACGGAGGCCTTGGAAGAAAATCAAGACGCAGATGTAGTGTACACGGATTTTGCAAAGGTATCTAACAAATACAATCATAGTGATTGCACCTAAAATGAGGGTCATACGTATAACGGAAAGAAGGCAAGTGGATATTCAACTTTCTGATAAAACACGAAGTACAATAGTAAGCAGAGCGAAATCCAGAAATACTAAAGTAAAAAGATCATTACTCGAAGGTACAGTCCTGGCGCCTTTGCTGTTTCTCATCCTCACAGCAGATATAAATACAAACACTCGCCACGGTTTTTGCATCTTCATTTGCAATTGTACCAAAAAAGCATGAAAATAACCTCCGTAAAAGATAGTGAAAAGTTGTAACAAGACATGAGCAAAGTCTTCCAGTGGGCAGTTGAGAATAAGATGACAGTTAATGGTGACAAGTTCCAGCTGCTTTCATATAAAAAGAATAAACCACTCAAAAAGAGACACTGTATACAGAACGCAAGACCACAAAATATAACGAAAGGAATATGTGAAGGACCTGAGTGTAATAATGTCAGCTGATCTTATTGCCATAGAACCCAATACGGCAAATGTACCGACGGTCAGGAAAATGATGGGGTGGATAATGATAACTTTCATAACACTGGAAATGATACCAACTGTGACTATTCAAATCACTTGTTTTCTCCAGCTGAATACAGAGAACTACACTTACAAGGCCTCCTTAATCTTGCCTCTACCAAAATTCCCCCAGCTCTTACACCAAAGAGCCAGGAGACGGCCTCTGTCTCCAGCTTCAGCTCTTACTCACTTCTCTTTTTCCTTCCTTGAATTACACATGATCTACGAGAGGTCAATGACCTTCCTGTACCCAAAAGTGACTAATGAGGGTGATCTCACAACAAAGTCCCGATTCTTGATTGAAGGGGACAACTGTCACATCTGTGTATTGAATATACATTATACAAAGTTGCATTTATCATAACAGTGTTGACAGGGTAGGGAAGATATCACAGATGGAAAAGATACAGAAATTATTTACAGCCCACACAGAGCCAATAAAACATTTAAATTAACGGGAACGCCTTAAAGTCCCAAATATGTACTCAGTGAACAGGAGAGAGAGATAGAGAGAGAGAGAGAGAGAGAGAGAGAGAGAGAGAGGGGGGGGCAGGAACCTAGGTCTACCCACGCCTGGAACCCTCGTCCCCACTGACTGCCAACAGACTGAATTGACAACATCACAGCTCCCACCCTGGATATCTTGGCTCCGGGCTACCCTACTCTACCCTGTCTACCTGGTATACCCCACTAAACAATAAAACCAGCTCTAGTCTACATGTGTTTATGTAACCTGCCCACTATCGCTCAGCATATTCCGCTATCTACACCATCGGCTATAACAAACACTCCACTGAGACAGACTTACCAATGTTTGCATGTCTCATCATGACGCCATAAAAACGTACACTCCACACGTCTTCGGATGAAACTAGTGGGATGTTACTGAACATTCATTGTTGACCGGGTGTCAGGTCTGACAAGTGGGTGGGTGGGTGCACACAGACGTGCGGAGATTACCAGTGACACACAAATGACCAGTGACACAGCAAGGACATGGCTCATACCTGTAGGTATGCAATAATCGCGAACAAGCGATACAAGATGCAAAACAGCCATGGGGGGGGGGAGTTGAATGATTGCTCTAGGCCTTTCGTGTTGCAATCAACATATCATCAAGAGCTTGCAATTTTGCAGAAATGAGTAGGAAGTCTAGGTAGGAACGTTCAAGGGAACGACTCTACGTATCTACCTGAACTTCCTACTCATTTCTGCAACACTGCCAGCTCCTGATGATATGTTGATTGCAACACGAAAGACCTAGGCTATCATTCAACTCCCCCCCCCCCCCGTGATTTTCTTGCACCTGTAGGTATCTACAGCAGAAAGCATACCTATAGTGGTGACATCCAGCAGCAGAAGCAACAGCAGCAACGTCAGCAGAGACGGCAGGGGTGTGGGTGATGCCATCCAGCGACCACACATGATCGTGTTACCTGTCGGGAAGATATCACTTGTTAATTCACGGTCACATTGTCACGGTTTTTCCTGAACACACACACACACACACACACACACACACACACACACACACACACACCACTGGAGAGTGTTGTAGTGCAGGCAAAATCCATGCATAGCTTTAAGAGGTACGACAAAGCTCTTAGAGCACGGAGGGGACTCAGTGGCGACCAGCGAAGAGGCGAGGCCAGAAACTGCGATTCGACCCCTGCAACCATAAATAGGTGAGTACAACATAGACACGCAACTGCTTCCTCTGTATTTAACTGAAGAAGCCTACTCTGTGCTGAGCTGTGAATCAACCCCTGCAACCACAATTAGGCGAGTACAATTAGATGAGTATACACACAGTCTCACACACACACACACACACACATAATGGTAACTAACACACACACACACACACACAATGGTAACTAACACACACAATGGTAACTAACACACACACACACTGGTAACTAACACACACAATGGTAACTAACACACACACACAATGGTAAAACTAACACACACAATGGTAACTAACACACACACACACACACACACACCACACACACACACACACACACACACACACACTGCGAGTCTTTCTTTCAGAGAGGAACCGTTGTAACAACAGGTGAAGATCCACTCAGGTCTTCTTACTCTTTTCAAATACACATATATAAATATAAGGCAAAAAAGTTCTATAATGCTTTATCTGGTTTTAATCAGTATAATACTAAGCTTATAGAGTCAGTAATTTAAATAATTGATAAAATTTAGGTATACCTTTTCTTATAAATTCATATGTACACAATCACTGTAGTTTCATAATCAAAGTCAAGATCAATGAAACACTAGAGAGGGTGCCTTTACCACCTCCTCAATCAATTATTTACACTACAGCTAGAACTGGTTCGAGACCAACACGAGACTAATAGTTGGAGAACTCAGACGTGGTGTATTGCTTCAATTATATAGCTGACGGCACAGACGCAACCCGTCAAGTATTCCGTGACTGAAGTAATCCAAGCAACCTTGGTTGAACCCAAGAATCCTGGTTCAAAGGTTCTCCTGAGACTTGCAACAAGAGAATAAGGGAGCTCCGTGTCTTGGTGCTTTCTCTACCGGAGGTGAGAATGAACTGCTATGAGTAAAACTCATTTGCTTGACGTCACCTCGGAATGAGTGAGTTTGTGAAGCATAAACCACCACAAGGCAATTCAACATATAAACACAAAACATCTTACGAAATAAATCAATAATTCATGGCCAGATAATATTATAAAACTAGGAGTCTTTATTTTAGCTACGAATAAAGGAACCAGTAATATAATACTAAGTGAAAAAGTCGTAATTACACATTAATCAATTGACCCTTCTTAAATTATGCACAAAGGGCGTAACACACACACACAATGGTAACTAACACACACACACACACCCCACAATGGTAACTAACACACAACCACACACACACACCACACACACACACACACACACACACAATGGTAACTAACACACACACACACACACACACAACACAATGGTAACTAACACACACACACACAATGGGAAAAGGCTGACTATAAAAGAGGGGACTACATAGGGTTGAAGAACTTCCTGCGGGAGGTCCAGTGGGACAGAGAACTGGCAGGAAAGCCAGTAAATGAAATGATGGAATATGTAACAACAAAATGCAAGGAGGCAGTGGAAAGGTTTATTCCCAAGGGCAACAGTAACAACGGGAAGACCAGAACGAGCCCCTGGTTTACCCGACGGTGTAAGGAGGCAAAAACAAAGTGCAATAGAGAATGGAAAAAAATACAGAAGGCAGAGAACACACGAAAATAGGGAGATCAGTCGCAGAGCCCGGAATGAATACGCACAGGTAAGGAGGGAGGCCAGCGACAGTATGAAAATGACATAGCATCGAGAATCAAGACTGACCCGAAACTGTTGTATAGCCACATCAGGAGGAAGACAACAGTCAAAGACCAGGTGATCAGATTAAGGACAGAAGGTGGAGAACTCACAAGAAATGATCAGGAGGTATGTGAGGAGCTGAACAGGAGATTTAAGGAAGTTTTTACAGTAGAGACAGGAAGGGCTGTGGGAAGACAGCACAGAAGGGAACATCAAGAGGAAATATACCAACAAGTGTTGGATGACATACGAACAACTGAGGAGGAGGTGAAGAAGCTCTTAAGTGACCTTGACACCTCAAAGGCGATGGGACCGGACAACATCTCCCCATGGGTCCTTAGAGAAGGAGCAGAGATGCTGTGCGTGCCTCTAACCACAATCTTCAACACATCCCTTGAAACTGGGCAACTACCTGAGAAATGGAAGACAGCTAATGTAGTCCCCATATTTAAGAAAGGAAACAGAAACGAGGCACTAAACTACAGACCTGTGTCTCTGACATGTATTGTGTGCAAAGTCATGGAGAAGATTATCAGGAGGAGAGTGGTCGAACACCTGGAAAGGAACAAGATTATAAATGAAAACCAGCTTTGGGTTCATGGAAGGCAAATCTTGTATCACAAACCCCCTGGAGTTTTATGACAAGGTAACAGAAGTAAGACACGAGAGAGAGGGGTGGGTAGATTGCGTTTTCCTAGACTGCAGGGAAGGCCTTTGACACAGTTCCCCACAAGAGATTAGTGCAGAAGCTGGAGGATCAGGCGCACGTAAAAGGGAGGGCACTGCAATGGATAAGAGAATACCTGACAGGGAGGCAGCAAACGAGTCATGGTATGTGAAGAGGTATCACAGTGGGCGCCTGTTACGAGCGGGGTCCCACAGGGGTCAGTTCTAGGACCAGTGCTATTTTTTATATATGTGAACGACATGATGGAAGGAATAGACTCTGAAGTGTCCCTGTTCGCAGATGACGTGAAGTTGATGAGAAGAATTAAATCGGACGAGGATGAGGCAGGACTGCAAAGAGACCTGGACAGGCTGGACATGTGGTCCAGCAACTGGCTTCTCGGGAATTCAATCCAGCCAAATGCAAAGTCATGAAGATTGGGGGGGGGAAAAGAAGACCGCAGACAGAGTATAGGCTAGGTGGACAAAGACTACAGCCTCCTCGGGGAGAAAGCCCTTGGGGGGACCAAAAAACACCGAGCAATCCCCCGGGCCCCCTCAACCAAAAAACCCGCTGCGCATACGGGCGCCTGGAAACCTGAAAATAGCGTTCCGATACCTTAAAAGGAATCTTCAAGACACTGTACACTTGTATGTTAGCCCTACGGAATGCAACCCCCAACTGGAACCCACACCTGGTCAGCACGTAAGAAGTTAAGAGAAAGTAAAAAGGGTTTGCAAAAAGGGCTAGTCCCAGATAAAGGGGGAAATTCGTACGAGGAAAGGTTAAGGGGAAATGGACTGACGAATGGAGGACAGAAGGGTAGGGGAGACATATAACAAACATACAAGATACTGCGGGGAATAGAAAAGGGTGGACAGAGTGGGTTTTCCCAGGGGGGGGACACAGGGACAACTGGAAGCTGAAATCAGACGAGTCACGGGACGTTAGGAAAATTTCCTTAGTATAGAGTTGTCAGCAAGTGGAAAAGCCTAGCAAGTGAAGTAGGGAGGCAAAACCATACATATTTTAAAAGAGTATGACAAAGCTCAAAAGAAGAGAGAGAAGGACCCATAGCGACGTGAAGGGGGGGGCCAGGAGGAGTCTCGATCCCGCAACCACAATTGGGTGAGTACAATTAGGTGAGTACACACACAACACACCAAGGGAACTATCCACACCACACACACAAGGGTAACTAACCAACAACCACCCCAAAAGGGGAATAACACACACACACAAAAATGGTAACTAACACACACCACACACCCCACAATGGTAACTAACACACCACACAACACAACAATGGTAATAACCCCACACACACACACACACCACACACACCACACACAAAACACACACACACAACACACACACACACACACCAACAATGGTAACTAACACACCACACAAAACCACACACAATGGAAAAAAACACACACACACACACAAAATGGTAACAAAACAACACACCACACCCCCACACAACACACACCACAAGGGACACACACCACACAATGGTACACACACACCACCACACAATGGTACACAACACAGAACACACACACACCACACACACACACGCCGCACACACACACAACAAACACAACACCACAAACAACACACACACAAAACACACACCCCCACAAGGGTACACACACACACACACACACAAAAGGGTAACAAACACACCACACACACAATGGAAACACAACACACACACACACACACACAACACACCACACACACCCCCACACAACAACACAACAAACACACACACACACACACACAATGTAATAACACCACACACACACAAGGGAAACACACACCAACACACACACAAACCACACACACACAAGGGAAAACTAACACACACCCCAAGGGAACACAAACACACACACACAGACACCAATGGAAAACTAAACACAACAAAACACCACACAAAAGGGGTAACAAAACACACACACACACACAATGGTAACCCACACACACACCACACAATGTAACTAACACACACACACAAAAGGTAACTAACACACACAAGGTAACACACCCACACACACACACACACACACCCCCACACACAAAAACCACACACCAACAAACACAACACAACACACACACAACACACACACACACTAGAGGAACCATGAAACCAAGTTTGAACAATACATCCAGTAATTTTCACTACAGGGGAAAAAATATCGTATATTATCCCTGGATACTAACTACAACTAAACCCAACAAATCATTTCACCAGACACAACAATGTTTTTTAAAAAAGGGTTTAAAATGTTGGACGTGAAAAACAATAAAAATTAACATTACTTGTAAACCCCCGTTGTTTCGGGGGTTTTTTCTTCCTGAGGGGCCCGAGGCTAGGCCCGGGGCTACCCCCGG